TGTGGTTTAGGACTTGTGCACCACAACACCACTACCAATAACAATAGCAGCAACACAAAAATCACCACCTAGTATTTCCTAAAAGATGGCGACGATCCAGGTCTTCCCTTTGTTCTGATCTTGGCCCAGAACAGGGCCAACACTGCGGTTTGGAAGCTTCAGCAGTCCTCATGCCTTTTGTCCGCCCACTCTCTCCCCACAAGTGGTGCGATCCAGGTAGCTGTACCTCTCACATCGTCTCCTACAGATGAAGACGCCGCTCTGCTCCTCGGGTGCGGGTACTTCGGCATGCACAGGACACTGACCAGCAGGGCCTGCTCCCATCAGACTGCTCAGCCTCTCCTCTCCAGGGTCTGGCTTTTCCACCTGTGCTTGGGCCCAGGACTGCTCCAGGAGTGGGCAGGACACCTGCTGGGAGTCAAGACCTCTTAGCAAGGCTCTAAGCTGCTGGACCAAGGTCTCCTGTCCTGTAAGATTTCACTCACACCAATTTGAGGACAGTGGTAGTTGAGCATTACACCCTCTGGTGCGTTAACTGACGGTCAATTTGCAACACCCAGCTGAGCTCTACCAGCATGGCTCTGGGCGTGAAAGGCCCATCTAGGGACTGTTGCCAAGAGCATGAAAGAACTAGAGAGGAAGACAGTTCCCTGTTGATTCTCAAGAAGCTTGTCATGCTGTTTTGGTTTTTTGTATTTAGTGCAGGGTCTACAGGGTCTCACTACACAGATTGGACTTGTAGTGATTCTCCTGTTTTCAGCTTCCCACGCACTGGGATTACAGGTGTGTGTCACCAAGCCCAGTCTCAACTGTCTCAGGGAGCCCTGGGGGAGGGGCACAGCAGGCTGGGGACTGAACCTCTGACCCATGTCTGCCTAAGCAGGCACTTCAATCCGCTGAGCTATCTAGCCAGCTGTCATGCTGGTTTTGATATGAATTCAGCTCTTAGAGGCGGCGGCTGGGACCTCACTGTCACTGAGGACGGCTGTGGTTCTCTTCAGGGAAGCTCCTTACCTTAAGCATCGCTTTCTGGCTCCAGTGCTGACACACTTTCTAGCTTTCACCACTGACCTCTGGGCCTTCCCAGTGCAAATCCTTGATACAGACTTGGTTGAGACATTGTTAACGGGTTCTAAGCCTCCAGCTGGATACACAGAGGACCCTGCCGTGGGCTCCAGGTCTTCAGGTAGACTAGTGCAGGACAATGCCATGGGCCCCAGGCCCTCAGCTGGATTCACTGTAGGTCTCTAGTGTAGACAGATCTCCTGCACTCTTCTGCAGATGACTCTTCAGGTGAATATTATAAAATAAGCTTATAAATTATGTGTCCTGTATTAAATCTGGGTTTGCTTGCAAGCCCTCACTACAACGCACCTTGAGGGTGTGCCCCTTCTGAGTAGGGCACTCAGTGACTGCACTAGGGCTCAGATTTCAGGTCACTTTTACCTGGATTTCTTACCTGGCTGGAAATCTGGGGAAAGAAGACAAAGGAACAATTATCACGGCCTTCAAGACCCTCTGGTAGTTCCGTGCAGGCACTTACCTCACCTCTGCTTGCAGTCTGGAGGAGGTACTACAGTTGGTACAAGGAAGGAACTGGCCTTGAGACTTGAAGACCTCACCAATGCTCCTAAGTGGGAGAGCTGAACTTATTTCCTTGGGCCACCGGCAGGGTCTGAAGATGGTCTGTCCCCCACAAACAGGATGAGAACATGTACTGATAGAGGGGAAGTCAGATTCCCTGAGTCCATGCTCCCCCAACTCGATGATGAATTTTAAGGAACAACGGAGGTTGAGTGTGAAACATGAAAACTTTGAGAGCTTAAGAGACATAAAGGAATAGGAAAGTGGGCTGCCAGTAAGCCCACTTCTCAAACAAAGCTTCATAGAGCAAGACTCATGAAGTGTGCACAACATGGGTCAAAACTATAAGCAACCAATATAGTTGCTGAGGAGACACTGACCCAGTGGGGAAGCCATTTGCATAACACATGTACGTGGTATCAATGAATTGCTCAAGGAAGGGATAATTAGGCGGCCTTGGTCACCCACGTGGACAGCCAATGCCTACCTAGATTTTATTACACGGGGGGACAGCAATTGGCTTGTCCCCCGCTGAGGCCTACAGCCGTGGTCTCTCCACCCTCGAGGCCCAGCCTCCAACAGATGCGCCTCTGGCCACAGGTGCGCTGTGTTCTCGTCCTCCGCACTGACCTTCTGAGGGCCCACTCAGTGTGACCGCCTATGCTCCCACTTAACTTAGCTGTCAATAGTAGTAGGGTGCTCCTACAGTGAACTCGCCAGACACTTAATATCAAGTTTTCAGATCACCACAGAGCTCCCTCAAGACTTGTCCTTTCATTGAGTAGTTCTTCGAAAAGACGGTCAGGGGGTTGGGGACAGAGGAGACGAAAGGGGAGGGGAAGTAAAAAGGATCAAGACATGATAGCATATATGCCTGTTCCCCCAGGATGAGTGTAATTATTACCCACTGCAACCATAAATAAACTGGAAAATGATGAGTATGTTCAAGACAGGGAACATTTTGAAGGAGATAAATGGCAATGTCTTTTATCATAATCATTTTTTAAACATTAAAAAAACCAGACCCTCTCCCAAAGACTTTTGTTTCATAAAACATAAGGGAACTAATTAACACATAGAGGTAGTCAAACAGCAGTAAAGAGGAAGGCCTTAGAAAAATGGCTTCTAGTTATGCCTGTTTTTTTTTTTTTTTACTTAAAGGAGAGGCCATTAGATGAACACAGTTCAGACATGGTGACCACTCAACAGGCTGGACTAACTTCCAAGTGACAAAGCTGAGCTTCGCATCAGTCACTGATTGCCCCGGCTCCTTCCGCTCAGCACCTGCCCCTGAAGGGACAAGATCCCTTAGCTGCTCCAACTCGGGCAGATAGATGCAAGGCATTTTAGCCAAGTACACTCTATAACTTGGGCTGTAAATTAGAGCTGACACAGTGACGTGTCTTGGGTCTGTGACTCAGGTTGCATGCTGTGGTCCTACTCTAGAAAACCAGAAGGGAGAAAAAAATTGGAATTAGTGTTACTCTCATCTTCCTATAACCTATTTGATTCGAACAGAAAACCCAAAATAAGTGATCCTGCAATACAGTGCAATGACAGCAGACTCCTGGAGGTGCGTCACATGTATGCCTTCCACACTCTGGAGTGCCAATGTACTACGTGCATCTGTGAACACATCCCGGCAGCGCTCAGTTGGACAGAGCTCATGCGCGATCTGCCAGTCACCGTCAACCTGGATCAGGTCTGGGGCTCGAGCCTCATTTCTCTTAACTCTAAACAACAGCCTTTCCCCCTAACCAACAATGCTGCTAGAAAGCTAATGAAAGACAGACTGTAAAGTTAGAGATAAAAAGTGAAGTCATAATTACTAAAGACTCCTTAGAGAAAGTCCAACTGCTCCCCAATTTATATAAACAGCTGCTTGAACACTGTAGAGCGGAAACATAGTTAAGACCTGGCCTCTATCTCTAGCTGTGTCCCCAACTCAGGGTACACATACCTATGCTCAAAAATCCACTGTGAAACGCTAGAGGAGTAAGATCTTACAGAAAAGGATGCAATGAATACCGGATGACAAGTCATACACTATTTTGCTTTTAAGTCTTATCTTTAAACTCAAACTGAGTATCATTCACAGCTAAGGAACCCCGGGAAACGGTCTCTACTGGTAAAAGGCTGCTTCCCAGTCCAAATTTTGTGGGCCTGGGGACTAAATCTAGGGGTTCACATAGGTAGGAGCTCTAGTACTGAATTATATCCTTGAACTTTTATTCTTAAGAGTGGGTCTGGCTAAGTTGCCCAAGCTGGCCTCATCCTTCCGACTCAACCTCTTAAGCGGTTGGGATTATACATGTGCATCACCACACCTGAGTCTGGTGCCCAATTTTTATAAAAGTGGCCCCAAGTTTAGGAGAACTTCCCAAGACAACCTAGACATGTTTCTCCCTCCCGTATCCTACAGATACGGCAAATAACAGCTAAACCTTATTTATAAAGGTTTTATGTATTGACCGAAACTTTCAAAAAAACAATTACAAAGAAATAAAATAAAAAAAGGGTCGGCCAAATACTAAAGCACCTGCAAGCAGGCACAGGGGCCAGGGGTTCCATCCCCAGGCTTGCTGTACCAGCCTTGCCCCCGGGGCATGCTGAGACAGCAATTGAGATTGGGCATGGCGGTGTGCACCTGTAATCCCAGCTCTTGGGAGGCCGTAAACAGGTGGATTAATATGAATCTGACCTAGTAGTGAGACCCTGAACACCCTGTAGACCCTTCACTAAAATACAGAAATAAATAAATAAACTTTCCACAGCTTTATGTCCAATACAAGCCAGTGTGCACTCACTCAAGAGACATGGCTATTTCGGCACCTAGAGGCAAGCGACTGCATGTGCTGTCCTAGGAGTGTCTGCAGAGTTCCTGCCCAAGGCAAAGGAAAGCAACGGCAATGCCTGCCGACATGAGGCACCCAGGGCTCTCCTGGACCCAGCACGTTCTCTATGGCATGTGGCTCCAAATGAGGTAACTCTGGCCTCTTACCACACTCTTACGAAGCATACCGTGAAAATATGAATTAGCTGATCTTAAACCAATGTTAGAAAATAAAGGGGAAAACATAATGTATAACCCCCACCACACAGAAAAGCAATTCTTTTGAAAAGAAACTATTCAACATTTTACATGCTGCACAAGTTACAAGAAAAAGTTGGATACACAGACTCAGGTATTCAGATTACAAGTATTTATTGCAAGCACATTTTTTCCAACATTAAAAATAAAACATGTGACTAGGAACATTCAGAGAAGGGAAGCTGTCAAACCCATTCCCATGCCCCTCACACACAATGCATCATCCATGGACAAGACAGTTTGCAGCTTAAAATGAGGGACTCCTATGTACTACTTGGACAATGGGAAAAACAGGACAACAAATTCAGTCAACACTGTGCAGAACTAAGCACATAAAACTGTACTACTTAATATATTTCTCCATGAACTTTTTGTGAAATTCAGATCGCAGTGTATCATTGACAAATCTCTTGTCTTTCTTCTGATCATCTACACCTTTTGCACAGTTCTTAAACACAACATCATCATCCCACCTGAAAGAAAAAAAGAAAAAAGGCCCTAGTGTTTCTGTCAGATGACAAGAAAACTGTGTACTGCGAAGCTTGGTGTTACAGAAAGGTGCCTGATATGTTTCACTTGACACAGCCAAAGAACAAAGTGACCCTTAATACAGGATGTTGGCTCTCCTGAAGCAGGGGATAATTCTGATTTAGAAAATTGCAAACACTGCCACTGTTTCTCTGGCAAAAGCAGCTTTGCTATAAGCTTTGTTATGAAAATTTGTTATGACTTTGTTACACATTGATGTTTAACTGATGTTTTCAGGTCTAACACAGAGGTAGTCCCAAGGCTACCACAATTAGTACAGATATCACTAAATTTTAGTAACTGGTCATCTTAGTCTAGTTTAGATTTGGTGATTTTGAAGACTATTTTTTTTAATACAGGGTCTACAGGGTCTCACTACACTGATCCTCCTGTTTTCAGCCTCCCAAGTGCTGGGATTACAGGCAGGAGCCACCACACCCAGTCTCAGTCACTGTCTCAGCTTGCAGGGGAGAGGGCCGGCAGGGCCGGCGGGGCCGGCATGGTATGTGGTGCCGGGGATCAAACCCCAGTCCACTGAGCTATCTGGCTAGCCCTGAAGACTTATTTATATATTCTTCTTTAAAGTTAACATTTAGCAGTCATCCACTATAATAGTCACATTATAAAGGAACAAAGAGAAAGAACTTTTGGACCATAACAATTAAGGCCCATGTGCACGATTTCAGAATATTCCCCAGCATATAAACACAGGCCCAAATATATGACATAGATATTCTCGTAAATATAAGTATAAATATACACCTCAAATGGAAGGCCATCAATGTATTTGTATAGCCATAAATTTCTGCACATGGGGAGCAAGCAAAGAACATGCTTATCTTTGGAAAACACTGAAGTTGTCACTAATGAGTATCCAAACATGAGTGATCAATAAGTGGAATATACTCTTATTTGTACCCAAAACAGGGCAGAATTAAGTTACAGCGCTTTATATATATCTAAGCAGCATTTTTCTTTATCCATTCTCTAATTTACTCCCAACCAAGCTTTTCCTTTATGTTGCTAATCTCAGCACTCACTTGTTCTGACACCAATATCTGAGATGACCACTCCCTTCCCCTAGAAATATGACTGTCTGCTTGGCTTCCTAGACGCCAACTCTTGTTTTCATTTCCTTCCCCACTGGCTGATCTTTCTGTTTCTTTTTTCCATTCTAACAATACTGACTAAGCACCTACTGCGTGCTGGGAACTGTCCCAGGTACCAGCAAGTAATCATCTACCCAAACTCTAAACACAGTGCCAGGCGCAGCACTCTGACTTCTCTCTAGTTAAACTCATTCCCTACGTGATACTCTGCAATGTTACAAGTTCCAATATTTCTACAAGCTGACAACACAGATTATCTCCAGCTTGCAATAACTGCGAAACACATCACACCATCTACCCACAACAGGCATTAAACAGCCCAACCTTTCCATGTCTGACCACCATCCCCACATCCAGCCTTGGGCCACATTTATCCCTAGCTCTAGCTTTTCAGTTGCTCAGGACAAATACTGTGGAACCTGGTCTCTTGTCACCTGGCCAGCAAGCTTTCCCTTGAGTATACTATCGCCTCCTCATGAGTGGGTTGACTTTCATATATTTATAAATCATGGTGAGGGCTGCACTTTTACTGTGAATGAGTCAAGAAGCCATTGAAGGTTTAGAGCAACAAGCTGTAGTTGAGATTTTATAGCTCAAAGAGAGTCAGACTGCTATGCAGAGGGAAAAAAATGGGACAAGGACAGAAGGTGCTACACATGCAAGGAGCCAGAGTACCACATCACTGCTGATGGGAGCTTACCAGTGGAGAGGGTGAGAAATACAGCGGATACCTCAGGTCATGAACTTAATTTTTCTATAGTTCTGGTCACAAAACCAGCTGGATGAGAACCAAATCAAATGCAATGGTTAGGTTCAATGTTGACTTCATGGGGCAATTTGGTTCAGTTCCCATCCAGGTTTGTGACCAGAATCATAAGACAGAATTGAGTTTGTGAACCAAGGCACAACTGTATTGCACATAGTTTAAAAGTTAAGCTCAAAGGGTCTCTTGACTCCCTTATGTAAAATATAAGCAAGCTTCTTCCCATTCAGCTCTTCTAATAAGCTTTTATTTTCTACGTATCACCACTGACGTATTACATGATTCACTGATCATCTATCCCCCTTCTGTTTTTTATTTCACTACTCCGTATCTACCTGCAGTACAGAGAAGTGTTAACATACGAAGACCACTATCCTTAGACCTGCTTGTAAGGCTAGGCCTTGGCGGGCATTCAGAAACCCGCATTTAAGTGTTTCTTATTATTTCTACACCTAAAGTGTATATACAATGTTTTTCATGTCCAACACTTCCTTTCCTTTTGGGGAGTCTGCATATTTGTATGCGCTAAGCAGAAGTTGCCTCTATGATAAGCTCTCAACAAAAACCTGAGGCACAGTGCTTGCTACTGGGAAGCAACACCGTGCACATGCTGTTCCATTTCTGTTAGTTCTGCGCACCTCCCGCGGGCAGGGAGGACTCCTCCCCTTCCAGTCTGTACCTTTCCCCTCATGATCTGCCTGTGTATCTTTACTAAGTCAGTCATCAGTACAACTACTTCACGACAAGGCTGTGCTAATCTTTACTACATCAGCCATGCATAAGCCACATGCTGAGTCCCTAAATCTTTGCAGTATTTCAAGGTGAGTGGTGGTCTTGCCAACTACTTACACATGCACACAATGAATAAAGTTTGCAAGGTTAAGGGCTCAGCTCATAACTGTATGCGCCATGTTTAGATTACTGGGTGTACAGGGAGCTACTATAAATATCTACTGAAAATGAGAGGTTTTTATTTTCCCCCATTTTCCTTCTTCCATTCTCCAAAAATCAGATATAGTAGAGTATCAGTGGAAATGGAGTTGTAGAAGCTTAAGATAATGTAACAAGTACCCAATTCATAACATTCATGTATAAATCCAACCCATGATGTATATTACCTTCTTTTAACTTTGAAGTTGGCCTGAGGCTGAGATGGGCCAGTGAGATTAAGGAGAGGGTTTCCACTAAGAATGTTTTCCATACGAATCCTTTCTTCTTCAGCTTTTTGTTCTTGTTCCTATCAATGACAGAAAAACTCAAGTTTACTTATACTAATTCTAGGTCAATTTTCTTGTACTAGTTCATTTAAAAAAAGACCTAGGAGGGGCCGGCCAAATAGCTCATTGGATTAAAGCGCCTACAAGCAGGCATAGGGGCGGGGGTACAATCCCCATGCCTGCTGTGCCGGTCCTGCCCCCAGGGCTCACTGATATGGCTATAAAGACTGGGCATGGTGGCACCTGCCTATAATCCCAGCTCTTGGGAGGCTGTAAACAGGCAGATCACTATGAGTCTGGTTTAGTAGTGAGACTCTGAACACCCTGCACACCCTTCCCTAAAATACAAAAACAGAAAACAAACAAACAAAAAAACCAGGATGTCTGAGAAGAAAATTTGGCCATAAATATTTCTACTATAAATATTTCATGCTGTCATCACACAGCAATTGATTTCTCCCAACTCTGAAAAACTGAGATGCATATCCAAATGTTTTCTTTTGAAGTACATATAAAATTAACCATTTTAATATTTAAAGACATTAATGAACATATTTTATATTTAGAATTTAAGAACACATTAAACATCAAAAACATCTAGCAAAGCTCAATTTTTTTTTGGTACCAGGAATCAAACTCAGGATCCTGTGCTTGCCAAGCAGGTGCTGTGCTGTTGAGCTTTATCCCTGGCCCCTAGGGCCTCAATTTTTCAAGAACTATACACAAACTAAGATCAAAAGCAACTTTATTTTGAATTGCAATGTAAGCTTACATCCAAAGGATTAATGACAAATTATTAACTAAGAAGTAACTACTAAAATCAGACAAACTATGTAAAAGATGACATTCCGTTAACATGCACTGCTATTAATTTATGTGATGTATTATCTACTTTATTATTACATTACTATGTTCAACTTTTATATCTTATGTTACATGTCTTTAGCATCAATTTCTTCTAATTCAAATCACCCATTTCTTCTCAAAAAATCAGAAAAATGTCTAAAATCCCTAGCTATAACTTCTAGACCTACCTCATAACATTATCTTTGCCCAACTATAAATCTCATTTTGCTGTGCTTAGAGAATGACAGAATTTAATGATGTAATAGATCTAGAATTTACCCTAAAGTGACCCTAATTTTCCATGAAGGTTACAGATACTTCAATGTGAAAATATGGATGGATTTCTTTTTTATCAAGAAAACTGAGAAGTGACAATTTGTTGGAAAACAGAACATTCCTTTAAGTCACACTGCTTAAAATTTAAGCAAAGTCAGGAACTATCCCTCAAAGAACAGAGAGCTTTTATGAAAGCATATGTAGTATTCAACATACTATACTATACTGATGGTGCAAAGATTTTTATTGAGATGCTAGAAAAACAGGAACTCGAGTACAAACTTTGTGTAACACACAGGTGCTGGACTTTATGCTGGCAGTACTAACACCTAGACTCACTTGATTGCTACACACAGCACTAGCAGGAAAAGGCACCTACTCTTCTCATACTCAAGTATCAGGGACATAAGCTAATGGCTGGCTAGCCAATGGGTCAAATCTGAACAACTCTTCTTCTTTACCATTTAGATTTTTCTGGAACACAACCATACCTACTCATTTATATATTTTTCCACAGCTGCTTTTGTGTTCTAACAGCAAAGATGAGTAGCTTCAGAAGATTTTAAGACTAGCCATCTTAAAATATTTATCATGTAACCCTTTACTACTAAGAGTATGTTGACCACTGACTAAGGCTAATAGCATGAAAATACTGTTGTGGGACACATCAAAATAACAGCTGATAGAAAGCAGGACAAAAGAAGACTGGTATAGAATTCCAAGAAATGTCAACTCACTTTTACACCGATGAGATGGAATTTCCTTAACTGCCAGGCATCTAAAATGGTTATCCTCCCCAAGGTCAGCCCAAGTCATTTAGAGAAATTTGTCTGTGTACAGAGACTAGGCGCTCTAAAAAGAGTGGAATGCCTGCCCCTGGTGGCCAGCCAAGGGTACTAGAAATGTTCTTAATTGTTTACTTGCATTTTTCTTCTTCCAATTTGAACTGAAAACCGTCTTCCAATTCTACCTCCTATTCTTCCTCTTAATTCCTCCTTCATGCTTCTGAACACTACTTCCTTAGGTTCTTTTTTTTTTTTTTAATTTTTATTTATTTAGATATATCTCTTTATCCCACTCCA